ATCTAGGACTAAGGATCTGTGTTCCTTACTATCCTAGGTAACAATATTTCAACCCTCTCATTAGATCTATAAGAAGATAATTGCCTGAGAAGATGGGTATAATTCACCTTTGGATGACTTCTAAAATGTTATGTCAATGACTCTGCCATGATGTTTGGCCCTCAGTGATTTGTACTGAATCTTGAACCAGAAGACTCATTCCTCTGTGCAGATGTGGAACAGTCAAGGCTGGTTTCATTGCTTACATGTAAAAAATTTTAGGACAAAGTTTCCTAAAGAATATAGTGTAGGTGCAACACTAGAAAGCCGTCCAACATAGAAATTAGTTATGGGATGCAAGAGACCATTCCTTTATTTTAACTATGCCCACAGAATTATGTGATGCTATTTATACATACGATCCATCTTAAGAAGAGTGGTTTAGAAAACCAGTAAATTTAGGGGTAAATTACTTTAAATTGAGTCCTTGTGATATAATCAAGAAGTGGAGGACAGGCTACTAATATAATATTACTTTAAATTTACTGTATCCTTTCTGTTGCTTACATAGTATCAGGGGCAGTAAGCATACAACGATCTCATTTAATCTTCAAAAGGACACTGCAAGTTAGAAACTCCTGTCCCCATCCAGATGAGGAAACTATGACTTAGAGGAAGGAGCTAAATGCCTCATTCACAGTCTGGTGAGTAAACTGCAGAGCCAGAAACCAAACTGTGTCTCTTTGACCCTGAACTCTTAAGGTCTATGGTCTACCACTTTCTAAGTGTCATTATTAATGCTGATCTTCCAGTTGGGAAACAGACCAGGACTCTCCAATAACATTATGTGATTGTCAGTGAATTATCTTATTTTTTTTTAATTCAATAGTTAAACCTATGTAATTTTTTCATAAGAAAAAAAGTTTCAATGCAGATTTCCTGTTACATATAACTTGGTACAACAAAGTTCAGAAATTTGTCACATTGGTTCCAGACATCTGAAGGAACAGTAAACAATTGAGAAAATGATGAGAGAGAGCTAGGCAGGTCGTAACAGGAAATGCATAAGGATTGGCAAAGGGAACTCTATGCTATTTTGAACAAGGAGATCAGATGTTAACTGAGATTAATATTCTAGCCAATATTAAATGCAGAAAAACTCATCCGTTAGAAAACTGAACAAAAAATAGGTTATAAATTTTGAACACGGGGATTTGTTTTAAGAAAGGTAGCTTTTGGAAATTTTAATTTTTTATTTCACAAAATCCTGTATTATTTGGTAATTTCACAGCAGCATGCACTGTTTTTAAAAATGAAAACAAAATTAACCATATAATTCGAACAATAACGAAACTCCAGGGCTCTTAAAATAGGGTTATGTGAAGAAACAGAAGGTCAGAGTCTGCATTTGCTTCTATTCTGGTGAATCCTGGGACACATAGTCATTTGCCTTTTGCAGCTCAGAATTTCTTGACTTTCAATTTATTGATTTACTAGTGACATAAACAGGAAACGGCCCAATTTATTCAGAACAGAAAAAAGTATCATAGATTATTCCCATGGGAAGGAAATTTTTCTAGAACATACTCATGGAGGAATTGACCTATAGTCCGAAATAATTATCATCAATGTCTGAGGAAAGCTGGGTTAGTAGGGAGTAGATCTACTGGTTAAATTCAACTACTACACAAAAGGGAATTCTCAACTCTTAAGTCAGTTTTATGGTACTTGGTCCCTTGTTCATAACACAATTTGTACAAGTACCAACACCAAAGTTTTATTGACTTTGTATGCATTACATTCATCTATAAAATATTCTTAAAAGGTTGTGTTTTTAATGAATAGATTTGTCTTTGGATAAAATATTAGAACATTTTGTATCAGTCTATATTTTAATGTAGTAATTCAATGAGACAATCCATTTGACGGAGCTACAACTTTTGGATGTTGAGTTTTCTGAGCAAATAGATCTCTTCTGAGATTAAAAAAGAGAGAGAAAACAACTTGGTAGCATGTACATTTGCTTGGCAGATGACATTAGAGGAAGCAGAATTTTAAAAATAGCAATTGAAAGCAAAAGCTATAACCCAATGCATGAAAACCCATAACCATTCTACAGGAAAAGGTACTCAAGGTGTGTCTCAAGGAAGAGAAAGCTGTGTATGGATACAAACTAAACAAATTGCTTGCTATCTTCTGGAGGGCAAGGAAGCATACGAGAAAAACTCAAAGCACAGAGGTGTACCTATTTGAATTTCCCAAAGGCTGACACTTATTTCCTCATTATATTATGAAGAAAATGAGAAGGAATGTTTTTATCTGTGCCACAGATGAGGAACGATGTACACACAGCTCAGGATACGCTCACGGTTACCTTTGCTTCTTTTGAGCCATGACTCAGCAGTTCCATTCCAGGCATAAATCTCTTATCAAACATATGACTGAAATATGAGATTAAAGAACCCCAGCTTCCCCGCCTTCATTTGTGGAAATGCTCCTTACTATGCAGTTTTCAACTATACGAAACAGAGTGTTCCTCTGGATGTACAAACTTCCCCATCATGTAGTTACGATAAGCAAAGTGCTGAACTATCAACAGATTTTCAGGCTAAAAGCACATAGTGACACGCACTCTATGTAAGAGCAACATTATCCCATTGACTGAAGTTCCTGCTTCTTCCTACTTGTCATGACTGCTCAAGCTTTCTATGGTCAAATTCTATAAACAGTTATAGAAAATGTAAATGGAAAATTTATTAATAAGTTTTGAAATAGGATGGAAAGTTAAAGTCTATCAAATAATATCTTAGCAGTAGATTATCACATGAGATTGTCCTTAATTGAGGACTCTGGGTGTCACCAAAAAATATAAACCTTCAGCAATTTTTAGGAGATTAGAGACTTTAAAGACTCTAAAAAGCAGAAGGAATAAAACAAAACTGGAAGCTTCCAGTGGGGCCTCAGGTTTTTCCTCTGTTAGGACCTGTTAAGGTTCTGTCAAGTCATTACGGAATAATGATAATGTGAGATGCCTTGTGCAGGTAGATTATATCTATTATTTCTCTGACAACAGAGATGTTAAGATATGTTAAATTAATAATAATGCGGAGTTGCAGAGCAAAAGTGGAAAATTCTGTGAGTTTCCTTTTTCTTGTTCTTTTTTGTTGGGACAGGGCTCTTTCAGAGGAATGAATATTGACTAGAAGTGAGGAGAGGAGCAGGTTGGAGCTGAAGATAGTAAAGAGAGAAAACAGAGTTCTCCCTATTTTCTGATTTGCAAAAGAGGAGGAATTTTGTTTGTATGTTTGTTTGTTTTGCTTTGCAGCCCAGAACCTCTAAGATCTCTCATTATAGAACTGAGGGGCTCATTTCTGCAATGTTATTTTTACAGAAGACTCTCTAGAGGCCCATGGGTTGCTGAGTAGACGCTATAATATAAAATACACAAAATGACAGCTTGTATAATTTTTATAATTATAAAAATATATAATTTTTATATATTATTATGAGAATAGCATGCTTGTCAAGTTGGGGAAAGCACTGATTACCTGAGTTAGATGTTAGTTAACTATGTGAAAACAGGAGTTCTATATAAGCAACATTAGTAGTATTATACTTGAAATTATGTGAAGCTTTAGCCTTTAAAAACTTTAGAAAGTTTTAATGATGACTTTTAAGATACAAGAGACTAAGAACATCATAAGAAGGATATTTGGGAATTTATCTCCATATCAACATATATGTATATTCACTATATTTGCAAAATGTTACTAGATATTTTAGCAGTAAGGAAGGAGAAATAATGAATTGGATAAGATCCCTATTTGCAAGGAGCTTATAATCTAATTGGAAAATAAAGCATAAGGACTTCAAAAGTCAAAGCACAAAAGTCACATAACCAAAATAGTAGGAAGAACAGCTTGTTACATTAAATAATTAACGATCAAATTAACGTCTAGACCAGAGGCTATTACACCTGGATGTGCCATTGAAATTATATGGAGAAGTTTTAGGAAATTAAATGCCTGAACTTTATCTAGACCTCCTGAATTAAATTCCTGGGCAGGGCATGGGAGTATAGAGGGCATAAATTCAGAGAAGGGAGATAAGTTGGGGGAAGCCACACCTGGCATTTTGGACTTTATAAAACTCCACAGTAATACCGACAAAAACAGTTCCACACAACTTAGTGGAGCAATATTTGAGAACTGTCATGGGCCAGGATGGCACCACTGGGCAAACATATTTTTGCCGTTAAAGTGGCACGTAGACTAAATGGGCTTTGGGTTATGCAGGATTTCAGCAGAAACTCCCAATTCCTTCCATCTCCACCTATCTGATGCTGAGCACACCAAAAAGAAAGACAAGGCTACATCATGAGAGTGAGACTCCAGCATGGAGCCGAAAGGCTTCAGGGGGGGTATCTCACACTGAATTGAAAAAGAAAGATCTTGCCACACACAGAAGAGCTTGCCAGGGAAAAGGAACAGCATGTATTCAGGAAAGTAAAACTGGGTTTGAAGCATGACGCACTGAAGAGTTGTTTAGAAGAGAGGGGTCATACAGGCGAATGCTAGATTCTGGAGAGGATCAGATTTCTTCCTTGAGTTCCACTGTGTTTTTATTATGGAGAAATGTCACTACCAAGTCTAAGATTTTATAAGTCTCAGTTAAATAAACATTATTCTGCTTTTGCTTATTCATGCTACATCCAAATAGTTAGTGTCTTATTATATGCATTATAATCTACACATCTCGGATGCATTCTTGGCTGTGAAATTTTATTTTTTTTTCATATTCTTTAAAGATGGTTCTAGATTCTTTAGTCAATTTCATTCAATTCTCATACTTAACAGAGAAAAGCCAGGACTGCACTGATCTGCTATTGGTGACAAAGTATTTGTGCCTTTGTTCAGAATGACAGAAAATAAAAGTGAATTTCCAAGACGATTATCAGTGTTACTGAAGATTTCATGGTTGGGGCTTATGCAACTTGAATTAAATACCAATATTTTGGTTACCTGAGTGAGTGATTCCTGGTAAGATCAGGTTGACGCTCCTGCAGAATTTCAAAGATATTGGGCTGGCGCAGAAATGCAACAATCTTGTCATTGTAAGCTGAAAAAAAAAAAAATATATATATATATATACACACACACATTTATATAGTAAGTAACAGTATTTAAAATCTGCTGTTAGTTTTATTCACATAAAGCCAGACTTCCCTCGTTCTCCTGATTAATATTTCCTGTGCTCAGAGCCATAGTTTAGAGCCCCCGTGTTGTGCTGGGCTTGGTCGCTCAATCGTGTCTGACTCTCTGCGACCCCGTGGACTGCAGCCCACCAGGCTCCTCTGTCCACGGGGATTCTCCAGACAAGAACACTGGTGTGCGTTCTCCATATCTAGGGATGGAACCCAGGTCTCCCTCATTGCAGGCAGATTTTTTACGGTCTGAGTCACCAGGAAAGCCCAGGAATACTGGAGTGAGTAGCCTAGCCCTTCTCCAGGGGATCGTCCCAACCCAGGAATCAAACCAGGGCCTCCTGCATTGCAGGCGGATTCTTTACCATCTGAGCTACCAAGAAAGCCCTTAGAACCACTACAGATAACTAAACTCCAATCTGTGTCTGTCCTGTCAATGAGTATTGGACTTAGATGTTAGGTATGATTGATTTAAGCACTCATTAAACTCATTTGAGGAGCCATATTTATTATCAAATTGCAAGATGAGATCATCAACAAGATTCTAGATACTGACACTAATACTGATTCTAGATACTGAGACTTATTGCTACTGCTTACTAAAATCACCTCATGAGCAATTGCTAGGAATGGAAAACCATCTTCTGATTAAAGGTCAGCCACCCACAGGGGTAAAGAGGCAGGGCAAGAGCTGCTAAAATGCAAGAGCTGCCAACAGCAACTACTGAAATGCAGAGGCAAGCCATTCCCAAATTCTAGGTGGAAATAAATACCACTAAGTCATAGGGTAGCTCTTTACCAAATCAACCACACCAACAGTTACAATACAACCAGCATCATCAATTATGTACATAATATTTTAAAAGAAAAACCTATATCATAGTCAAGGCTGGCTAATGTCTATAGAAATTTTAAATGTAATTAAAATTTATTAAAGGCTCTGCTGATATTCTTTTATCAAGAAAACTAACTTGCTCACATAAGATAATTCATCTTGATTACATATCTATTTCTAATCCAAAATACAGATACATTTAAATCACAGAACAGAGGATCTGAATCCTCAAACACAAGAGATTCTAGTCAGTTAATACTCTTGTGTTCATAAATATGATCAAGAAATATGCCTTACTTAAAAAGAATATCAGTCAAAAGAAACATAATTCTTGAGTCATCTGCCACGTCAAAGTTTAACTACATTAAGCTTATTTTAGTCAAATGTGAATGAAATTTTAAAAAATACTATCTGCTAAAATGGAATCTCATTATCGAACTCAAAGTGTCCTAACTGCACTTTTCACCATATATAAATAATAAACATACTTTTATAGTTGAAATCTTATCACTAGATTTTTACATTTCATCTAAGATCAGAGACTATATAATTTTTAAACTACAATTTTATAGTACTTTAAAGTTCTATGTGCAGTATTTAGCATCAAATTAGTAATTATACAATAAAATATAGACTATTTGATTTCTACTCAGGATTTCTTCTGAGTAGAAGTGGTTCTCAGTGGTTCTGAAACTTCTTTAGGACATGCACACTGCATTATATTTCATGGTAAATCTTTCTTTAAAAAATAAAAATTTTAAGATAAAACCAGACAAATGAAGAGCTGCTCAAATTGAAGATGGAACAGCCCATTTGCCAGGTGGAATGGTCCACCTGCCTTAGGGGCTCCAGGTTTGAAAACTGATCTACTTCAACCTCATCATTTTACTAACAACTCAAATTATTCTTTAGGCCTACTGGCTTGTATTCATTTATTTTTATTTTACAATTTTGGCGGCTTTTGCTATCTTGAATTTGCCACAAAGCCCCTTAAGAATGTGCCATCATTACTACTACAGACTCACACGCCATTTAAACTCTGTCTCAAGTATTAGATATATATTAAATAAATATTGGTCCAAATGCCTAATTTAAAATGGTCACACAATCCAGCTGCTGTAACAACCTATTTTTCCTTAACTTCAAGAATCTAGCATAAAGATTTCGCATGGAAAAGGCAGAGTAGTATAAAAATTCTCAGCCTACAGGATTTTACAGAACTTAAGTGTTTGATACTCCAATCAGTTTTTTAGGGATAATGCAACTGTTCCTTGGTGCAGAGCAAATGTAGCAGGCTGACAATAGGGAAGTATCAACAGAGAATGTATAGTACACATTGATATGAAAGCAAAGACTTTTGGGAAGAGAGGACATACCCACTGGAACCATGTCCTGGTACTGTGGCCTGCTGACTGTATTGAATGTACTCGACGGCCTGGGAAGAACTGGTGGTCCGGCATGTCGAGAATCTTCTCCTACCTGCAAACACAAGCAGTGTTTATGTTCTACACTAAATCCTAGAGTACTTTACAAAGGAATCCTAAGCCAAGTTGTTCAGAATACTGACAACAAGCATTGCTAAGTACCAACTGATCAGAACAGAGGCTAGCTTGAAGGGCGGACACAGGACTCTCAAAAGCTCTGCTTCAGTTGCTGAATTGAGGGCAGGGGTTGGGGTATCCATGTCCCTGAGAGGGGCCAGGGCTGTGACAACTGACCAAGCATACAGAAGGAGCTCAATATGCCTACGGGGATGTAGATGTTGAATACATGTTCCTCTGAATATCTTCTACCTGACAGAACACAGACCTACAACAATGTATCAGAGAGAACACTTGGGTGGGGCAGAACTCACTGGGGCAGTGCCAGGGTATACCTTCTTTTGGCCAAGCAGGTCAGGGGACCCCGTGCCTCAGCAGAGGAGGAGCTGAAGAGGAGCAGTCTTCGTGAGAGGTTCTGAGTTGGGCATTATCTCCTCAGAAGCAATTTTACATGCTTATGAGTGCCCTCAGAGCAACAGCTCTTTCTGGTTTGAACCTCCCACACCAGCAAGCTAATCACAGCAGGTGTGGAGGAGCTAAATAGGGTTGCCCCAACCAGAATGAGTTTTTTACCTACTATAGACTTAGAAACTCATATATACAAGTAGATAAACAAAAACGCCCATTAATAGTCTTACCAGAAAACTCTAACACTGCTTTAGCTTCTGTTTTAGAAACTGCCCCCCACCCCACGTTACAGAAGTCTTTCATGACAACAGTAGAACAATCATATGAGAGAGTTAAAGACAGCAAGAGGCAAAAAAACTTTCTGGATTTATAAATTTGTACATTTATTTTTTAATGAGTTTTTGTTCTATTTTTATATTTTTAAATTTTAGTTAATTTATTTTTAATTGGAAGATGACTGCTTTACAATATCGTGTTAGCTTCTGCCATATATCAACATGAATCAACCAACCTCCTCCTGAGCCTCCCCCCGACCTCCCACCCCATCCCACCCTCTGGGTTATCACAGAGCACCAGATCTGAGCTCCCCGCATCATACAGCAAATTCCCACTGGCCATCTAATTTTACATACGGCAGTGAATATGTCTCAATGCTACTCTCTCAATTCATCCCACCCTCTCCTTCCCCACCATGTCCTCAAGTCTGTTCTCTATGTGTGCGTCTCCACTGCTGCCCTGCAGACAGGTTCACGACTAACATCTTTCTAAATTCCATATACATGTGTTACTTATGCAATATCTGTCTTTCGCTTTCTGACTCACTTCACTGTGTATAGGCTTTAGGTTCATCCACCTTACTAGAACTGAGTCAAGTGTGTTCCTTTTTATGGCCGAGTAATATTCCATTGTGTATATATGTACCACAACTTATTTATCCATTTATCTGTCAATGGACATCTAGTTGCTTCCATGTCCTAGCTATTGTAAATAGTGTTGTGATGAACAATGGGGTACATGAGTCTTTTTCAATTACAGTTTCCTTAGGGTAAATGGTCAGGAGTGGGATATTGGGTCATATGGTAGCTTTATTCCTAGTTTTTAAGGAATCTCTATACTGTATGCAGGTCAAGAAGCAACAGTTAGAACCGGACATGGTATGACAGACTGGTTCTAAATTGCGAAAGGAGTACATCAAGGCTGTATATTGTCACCCTGCTTATTTAACTTATATGAAGAGTACATCATGAGAAATGCTGGACTGGATGAAGCACAAGCTGCAATCAAGATTGCCAGGAGAAATATCAATAACCTCAGATATGCAGATGACACCACCCTAACGGTAGAAAGTGAAGAGGAACTAAAGAGCCTCTTGATGAAAGTGAAAGGGGAGAGTGAAGAAGTTGGTTTAAAACTCAACATTCAGAAAACTAAGATCATGGCATCCGGTCCTGTCACTTCATGGCAAACAGATGGGGAAACAATGGAAACAGTGATAGATTTTATTTTCTTGGGCTCCAAAATTACTGCAGATGGTGACTGCAGCCATGAAATTAAAAGGTGCTTGCTCCTTGGAAGAAAACCTATGACCAACCTAGGCAGTATATTAAAAAGCAGAGACATTACTTTGCCAACAAAGGTCTCTCTAGTCAAAGCTATGGTTTTTTCAGTAGTCATGTATGGATGTGAGAGTTGGACTATAAAGAAAGCTAAGCACCAAAGAATTGATGCTTTTGAACTGTGGTGTTGGAGAACACTCTTGAGAGTCCCTTGGACAGTAAGCAGATCCAACCAGTCCATTCTAAAGGAAACCAGTCCTGAATATTCATTGGAAGGACTGATGCTAAAGCTGAAACTCCAATACTTTGGCCACCTGATGCAAAGAACTGACTCATTGGAAAAGACCCTGATGCTGGGAAAGACTGAGGGCAGGAGGAGAAGGGGATGGCAGAGGAGGAGATGGTGGATGGCATCACCGACTTGATGTACATGAGTTTGTGTAAACTCCAGGAGTTGGTGATGGACAGGGAAGCCTGGCCTGCTGCAGTCCATGGGATCACAAAGAGTTGGACATGACTGAGTGACTGAACTAACTATACTTTTCTCTATAGTGGCTGTATCAATTTGCATTCCCACAAACAGTGCAAGAGGATTCCCTCTTCTCTACACCCTCTCCAGCATTTATTGTTTGCAATTTTTTGATGATGGCCATTCTGACTGGTGTAAGGTGATACTCATTGTAGTTCTGATTTGCATTTCTCTAATAATGAGTGATATTGAGCATCTGTTTATGGATTTGTTAGCCATCTGTAAGTCTTCTTTGGAGAAATGTCTGTTTAGGACTTCTGCCCACCTTTGGATTGGGCTGTTTGTTTTTCTGGTATTGAGTTGCTTGTATAGTTTGGAGATTAATCCTCTGTCAGTTGTTTCACTTGCTATTATTTTCTCTCATTGTGAGCATTTTCTCTTCACCTTGTTTATAGTTTCCTTCACTGTGCAAAAGCTTTTAAGTTTAATAAGGCCCTGTTTATTTATTTTTGTTTTTATTTCCATTACTCTAGGAGGTGGGTCATAGAGGACCTTGCTGTGATTTATGTCAAAGAGTGTTTTATGTATGTTTTCCTCTAAGAGTTTTATAGTTTCTTTGCGTTTATCTTTGTGTATGTTTTTAGGAAGTATTCAAATTTCATTCTTTTATACGTAGCTGTCCAGTTTTCCCGGCACTACTTAATAAATATGTACTTTTAAAATACAGTTTCTACTCCTACCCACTCAAAGCCTCACAATCATTTTATCACACTGCTTCAGTCAGGTGTTTGGTGAGGGTTTTTCTAAAGACCCTAAAGTGGAAACACTCCCTGTCCTTCACTGCCTGTTTATCCTTCAACATGTTCTCACTCATTTTTCAAAGTACAGTTCAGAGCCTCTCCTCGATAAAGCTTTCCCTTCCCTTCAAGCTGAGGTCAAATGCCACCTTCTCTGACTGCCATAGCACTTGGGGGACATTTTTAAAGCAGCTGCCATTATTAACAGTCTATAAAGCACTTTTCACTTGTATTGTTATTCATCTGGATTACAGTTATTTTTATACATTCTCTCCTTAGTAAGAACACAGGGACACATGTCATTTTTTTGCATACCTCACATTAAACACATTTCTACACTGCTGCTACAAAGTCACTTCAGTCGTGTCCGACTCTGTGCGACCCCATCCCTGGGATTCTACACTACTGGTGTTCAATAAGTATTCGAGATACCCGAATTTATACTACCTGGAATATTTGCTAAATGAGTCTAAGAGAATGGCTGGGAAGACTTGTGAATGTAACTAGAATTTTCCCACTCCACTTCTCTTGAGTTATTGCTTTGAGAAATGAAGCCTATAAATACATACATATATATATATATATATACATATGTGTATATATATATATATATATATATATATATATATATATATATATATATGAGATTCCGATCATTAACCATACCTTGTTCGTCATTCACCAAACTTATCGTTTCAATCTACCAATATATACTTTCAGTCCTGTCAGGAAGCTGACTTGTGTTATCATTTCCTGGAATAGCCAAAGTTCTTCTTCACATCCTGCTTCTTCAAACCAGACCATCAGACTGTGGGCAAGCCACAATAGATGTGCAATTACTGCAGGATGTGCGTGCTTCCAACAGTGGGCCAGAAGGCACATTCACCTCAAAGGTTTAACAGTGCTGAGGCTAAATGCTGAGGCTTTATAGGGTCATCTTAGTCCCACTCAGTTTCCATCCATAAGAAGAAAAATCTTCATTCAAATTTTAAGGTGGACCTTAGTATCCTTACTACTAGACCATGAAAATAATTCAAGTTCTGAGGCAGAGGAGTTGAAAGAAAATATAAGTTACTAATCTCGTGCACGCTGTCCTGATCAGACTGAACAGTCAGCGTCATATCGTGAAGTGGAGATAAGGCAGGGTCTAAAGGGCACAGGTTGTGTGATAAAAGCAGGCAGGGCCTAATATGCTACATATGATGTACAAAGTCCAAAGGTGAGAGGTGAATGTATTAGCATCATCCAGTTTACCACTAATGGTTTATATGACAGCCAGGTAGAGATTTATTAGCTACTCATAAAACATACATATTTTTGTGCATACCTCATCCTGCAATATATTTATATATCATTTTCATATGAGCTTCTTATGTGTACTCATCTATGTCTGCACTTTTAACCAGCAAACACACATGATCCTTAGAGCCAGTGTGTAAATCGTGAGGGGAAATTCTAAGAGTGGAATTCTGGTAAATCAAATCCAGTTATTTATTGCATTAATAATCTTTTCTTATAATAGAAGCTACAAAAACATTTAACATACAATTTAATACTGAAAAGATGATATGCTCATAGACATAACATGGAAAAGGAATGCAGGAAAAGAATCTTAATTCTACTTGTCTAAGGAAATTTTTAGAAACAATGTATATAAGGTGATGATACAGGAGATTCAAAGTACAAGTCTATTGTTGCCGTTGTTGGGTCGCTAAGCCATGTCTGACTCTGGCAACTCCATGTACGTGTATAGCACACCAGGCTCTTGGGTCCTTCACTGTCTCCTGGGGTTTGCTCAAATTCATGTTTACTGAATTGGTGATGCGACCTAACCACCTCACCATCTACTGCCCTCTTGTTTTTGTACTGAGGAGAAAATATTTTACATAAAGCATTCCTCTTTTATTTATTTAACCTGCTACTGAAAAGGGGAAACAGAGTATTCCTTTTTTCTATTCTTTTTTCATTAGGTTATTGGAGAGCCCTCATGTGGTTACCAGGGGCCACTGCAAAGCAGCACAGTAGAGCTTTTAATTCTGAATTCTGCCCCTTTTCTCTGGACACAGAAATCAACTCTCAGATAGACCCTAATTTTAAAGAAGATTAGAGAGGATCACAACCTCATAGCCGAGGCCCGAGATTTTCATCTAATCCAGCAATCCTCACTTAAGAAACTTCCCTACCTTTAACCCAATTTTAATCCCCAATGAAAATCTCAGGGACAGAGAAGCCTGCCAGGCTACAGTCCACGGGGTCGCAAAAAGTCAGACCCAACTGCGTGACCGAGCAAAAGTCACGTTCATTTCTTCCTATGAAGTTGCTCTCGGGTGCGCCAAAGGGCTCACCACCACCCTCTCTTGAACACTATATTGCACTGTGAATCTTCTCTCATCACCCACTGAACTTTAAAAAAAAAAAAATCTAATTTCTTCACCCTTTCCTCTAATGTCCTACTTTTAAACTTGCAATTTAGGTTCCATTTGTTCCCAGAGAAGCCCTGTCAACATCCCAGTGCTTCTCAGCCTCCAAATGACAGTCTCAGACTAGGAAGACAAGGCGGTAAGGAAGGGCCCCGCAGCCTTCAAGGAACTCCAGCCCTGCACCCCGCCCGCCAACTGGCCAGCGGCCCGCAGGGACTCACCTCGCCGGCGCTGTGGCTGCGCTGCCGGGTGAGGTGCTGGCGATGCACCAGTGCGCTCGTGGGTCTGCTGCTCTGAAGCGGGAGCCGGGGGTCGATGAAGGTGGTGGTCCGGGAGTTGTGGTCAACAAAAAACGCCTAGGAAGCAATCCACCGGGTCAACAGTCCACACAAGCCACAGATGGGTCCTATCGTTTCACACATTCGGGGAGAGACCCACTTTGGAGCAATAACCTTCGCTCTGTTTTCTCGTAATTTCAAATCTTCGGGAGAATTACTCCTTCCTCCCTCAGGACAGACCAGAACACAGGAGCAACGCTTAGACTGGATTCAGAGTGAAGAGAGCAGGAAGGAACATGGTCCCCGTGTTTAGCAAATACTCTTAAGAGACAGTCGTCAAAGTTAGGATCTTAGAAAAAAAATCACCTGATTGGACATTTGGACTTCTCTTAACTGATGCCAAGTGCATACTGCTATGGGATATTACCAGTTCTTCTTTCAAACATCATTAACTTCTCTTTTCCTTTTATGCAATCAGCTACCAAGTCCTCCCCCCATTTTCCCAATATAGAGTCTCCTCTATTTGTCCCATCCCAGTCTGGCTACCACTGATTCCATTATTTCAGGACTTTCTCTTAAATGTAAAGTTATTAATAGTTTCTTGGTCGTTTCCCATCTCTAACAACCTTGAGTCACTGAGTTGGCACCTCACTGTGAGAATATATTTTTCTAAAAGCTTTGACTATACCTCCACTCCAATCCAAAGCCTCTACTGGCTACCTGTTATCTAAAAAAAAAAAAAAAAAAGATTCCAACCCTTCAGTCACTTTTCTAAGACTCTTTAAAGTCTCCTTATTTGCTCTTCCAGTTTAGTCATCTAAATTCTATAATGTTCAATGACTCTGGGCAAGTCACTTAAGTTCTCTGGGCTGCAGATTTCTTATAAAAACAGGTCTCCCTCTCTCTCCCATTCATAACAAACATTTCTCCCCCATAACGTGACAGGAGGGAGGAAACCATGTCTGACACATTTACTGCAGAATCCCTAGTGACAGGAAATCATGAATGAGCACAAGCCATTTCCCTCAGTTTTGCAGTAAAGTCTGCAAGCAATGTAGACAGGCCTTTAAAAATTCTTTTTAATTCTAAAGCTCTTCATAAGAGCTATTTTTCATTATCAGTAAGAACAAAATGGTAGTAAGTTTTCAAAGAAAAATTCATTCAAGGCAATTATGAAGCCCATTATCTCAAGGACAATTAAAAATGTAAGTTTTCCACGAACAGGTAAAGTTAATTAGGTCATCAAAGATAAAAAGGACTATTAGGAAAACCTGGAAACTCATTACTGATTAAAATGTCAGGACACAAGCTATATGCCAAATAACCTAAGCAAAATAGAACTGACAACTCAAACTGATGGAGCTCCTTTAAAAAAGTACTATACCTTAAAGACTAGGAAAGAATACATCTAGATAAATCCCAGGGGCAGATGGTATATTTATGCCAATTAAAAAAATCACCTTTCCATTATGAAACAAAATGTTTCTATAGATACAAAATCAGGAAACGGCACAATAATTTGTAAGTAGCTCCCAAATAGGCAGAAAATGACTTCTTTAAAAAATAACTTTAAGCGAAAGTGCACAAGAAACAAAGCAGAGAAATAACGAGAACCAGAATCCTTGTTGGCCCTCTTCTCAATGTCTGATTTCCAGGTACAAAGATTAGACTAAATGGAAGTTGTGTAGGAGATGGTGTCATCAACCTTATATCCCTGAGTCATGTTCCCTTTTTTCATAACCTACCAGGTGGAATGTCTTACTTCTCTGATCCTGTTAAAAAAAAACAACACATCAATTGTAAACCCTACACAGGTTTGTATTTGCAGACTCTGGTCTCAAATGTGACACCAGTTCCTGTTTGATTTGAGCTTCTAATCAACATCTGGATATTACTTCTGCCACTATTTAAAATGTCATAAAATAGAAATTCAATTATTTTTATAAGTAGACATTTCAAAATAATATCATATCAATCTCACATCATCTTTAAGAAGATTAAGCTCTTATTACTTACAACAATAATATGAACAATGCTAAGGGGAAAATGCAAAGAGTATGAAAACAGAATTGCCTACTTACTCTACCTAATTTCTTGGGCATGTTTTGAAGGTGCAGGTGGCCATTTAGAGGTAACAATGATGCACCTGTAATTGTAAGGACAAATGGGTGTGTACATCTAGGTCAGTTGTGATTTACATGGAGTGTCACAGTATAATTTGATGTTAAGAGGCTTGTCTAAAATCCATTCTCTAAAGAATTATACTGTAAATGCCTTCAGGGTAGGGACTCCTTACTCACCCTGTTCTCTCTGATAGCTTTTAGGGCTATCAGAAAGAGGGTGCTCAGAAAATAAACTGCCAAAAACTTGAAAAGCAGACTCTTGACCAAAATACAAGAAGGCAAATGACAATGAACTAACCAAGTATTAAAAATCACGGGGTTTTTTTTTTACATAAGCATAGAAAGACTGACAAGCTTGAGAAAAATAAATGAGAGAAGTGTGTGTGTATGTGCTGGGTAAAACATGTGGGGAACTGAAGACTACAAAACCACAAATAAGACAGAAGCTTTCAAAATATCCCAAATGGACATGTATCAACTACCAAGTCAAAACCTGAGAAGTCAAGAGTAAGCAGTGATTACATGCTCGCCATCCAGGAAGACAGCCTGGGTCTGAACCCCAGCTCCACCGCTTACTAGTGACATAGCCTGGGGCAAACTACTTAACTTCTTTAAACCACAATTTCTTTTCTGTTAAATAGGGGCAGTAACGCCTACATCAAACAAAGGTAAAATGAGATGGTTCATATAAATTTTTGAACATAGTGTCTGTGACCCCTTAAATGTGACTTACTATTATTACTATCATTATTACTAATAATAGTTTTAACTTCTGAGACATTTCTCTAAAGATCATAATTTTTCTCCCTACAATCTATACACCAACCTCAAAAAGAAAATGGAGAGCCAGTAAAACTGTACTTCCCAGGCTCCCTCTAGCTCTGTGTGGCCTAGATTAAGTCCTGGCCAATGAGCTGTAAACAGGATGCCACGTGACACTTCTGGACGACCTCTTCACAGGGAGATTTTCACAAGGTGAAGTCCTCCTTCTGCTCATCCATTCAGCTTCCTAAGACAAAGATGTGGACCATACACAGCTCCAGCAACCATACTGAACCTTGAAGAGTTTGGCTTTAGTAAGACTGAGTGGCCAAGCCAAAAGACTGTAAGCAGCTGGGGCTCTCACAATTTAAGGAACCACCCTAAAACCCAGACTGCCTACCTCTGAACTTCTTCATATGAGAGAGTAAAATCTTGCATGTTAAACTTTGTATAGGTTTCTGTCGCAGGGTAGCCATACCAAATCCTAACTGATGCACCGTCTCAGCACAGACGAACACATAAGCCAGCCACCACCATTATAAATAAGATTTTTCATTATCTTATAAATAATGATGTCTTACTATTGTTCACCTTTAATACAGTTGGGTAATGGTTCGAGGTGTAAGTGAAACGTAGGGTTGGGAAAGTAGAAAGCTGAGATTTGAATCCAGCTTCCTGACTCCAAGGCCCATGAGCAGTGCCTCCTTCCCCCCTCTTTTCTTGTTTCTTCTTTTTCCCATTCTTTCTTCCTCCTGTTTTTCCTTTTGATGATGTTCTCACCCTCTTCACACCTCACATAATACTTGAGTTTAGAAAAACATGTACATGTTCACTGAATTAGGCCGACAATAACATTCACTCTCAACGCTGACCAGCCCAGTGGACCAGCCCTGGCGAAGGGCAGCGCCAGAAGCTCCTTCCCCAGCACGTGCCTGAGCTCTCGGCATTAACTGTGTGACCCTGGACAGTGCTCTGGTACATCCACATAAAGGAGAAGACTCAAGTCCCAGCTGAGCCGTGGAAAACGTATCCCACTTTAACATGAAGAGGAAAGCATCGACAAATACCACCCAAAAGTTAGGCCTGCCATTTCTATTTGTGATGCACAAATCAATTATGCCACAAAAAGTGGATCACGTTCCCACAGGATAGCCTAAGTAGCTCAAGTCAGTAACAAAGTTGACTGCTTTTTTTTTCTCTTTTTACTTTAATTTGGGTCACTTTTTATGTCATCATTCTTGAGTGGTCTGCCTTTATTTATGAAATTTTCTACCCTGTATTAATAAATACTGCCTGAGTAAACAGTATGTTGAGAATGCAGACCACATAGAAAAAGCAATTGTATCAAAAAAAATGAATCTTTTTCAGATTAGCCACTAGCTAAGCAAATTTTGAATAACATAGAGTCTCTACTGTTAAGTTTCATTAAGGAAATTCACTCAAGCTTCCCCGTGCTGGACCAACTAGAACTAACAATATAATAAAAAACTGAAAGGAATGCAAATATCCAAATTCAAATCTCATTTTAAAAACTTCTACCCTTTCACTGCTTCAGGGCATGGTCAGAGTCAGAAAATATGAGCTGGTTGGAGCCAAGTGGTATTTTAGGGAGGCCAAACAAAATACACTTCTCTCTTTACACAATTCTTTTTTTAAGTTTCTATTATTTTAAGAAAAGAAAAAGCCATCAGTATTTGTGAAGAAATACCAACCTCAGGCTCAACAAATCTAAGTCACAGAAGTTTGAAATTGTTTCCAGTTAACATTTTGCCAAACCAGGAATCCATATTAAAAGACCATGTAAACAAAATAAAACAAAAAGCACTTGTAACTATGCTACAGAAAGACAGACATCAGAGCTTCTTTCTTTCCCTAAAAGAACAACAATTCAAAGATTAGAAGTGCTATATACTGAATCTGTTCTAACTTCTAGCTTATCAACTCTATAAAATCTTAAAATGCTCAAAAAAGTTAATTGTAATCTAATTTTTATAAAGATTTTAATTTACTCACACATTCTCTCCCTTCCAAAATATAAATCTCCTCTCAGCTCCTGGTCCCCTCTCTAGCATTCCCCCAATTATGAGGAATAAACATGCTATTATTTTCTCTATATTGTATCCCAGACAGATCTCTGTTACCAAATGACAGATGAAAAGGCCTGAGTGATATAGCTTATTATAAGTAAAAAAC